GCTGTTTACATTAATCCGACTGGTGTGGGTAAGTTGTACGGAAGGATGGAGGGAGATATCAGATGAAGAGAGGAAACACACCTGGAAATCTTACGTACTTCTAGGAAACTCTCACAGAGCTGGTGAGTTCCGTTTCGGAGGCGAGAGGGGCACATATACTACATCTGAGACGCGGTGGAGTTCTGTATATAAAAACCTTATTTTATTTTACTTTCGTTAACGCATAGATAAATATGCTGTTAAACAAGCCAGAAATTCCCAGTTACATAATAGTATAAGTTTATCACAGGCTGTTTACATTAAGCCGACTGGTGTGGGTTAGTTGTACGGAAGGATGGAGGGAGATATCAGATAAAGAGGGGAAACACACCTGGAAATCTTACGTACTTCTAGGAAATTCTCACAGAGCTGGTGAGTTCCGTTTCGGAGGCGAGAGGGGCACATATACTACAAATTTCTCTCTTTGAACATAAAAAAATCATGTTTTATTTCAGTGAAAACCACACCCCAAAAACGTGTTCTGCGAAGAAACGAAATTTTAAAAATTGACCACAAAATCCCTAGAGTTCTGTATAGAGCCCTAGGGACACTCCACGCGTTTGAAGAAATCTGTGTAAACAATAGTTAGTACCCCCTCACCTTTGATTTCTGAAAAAAAATCACACCAATGGTCCCCTCTGGAAATTAGAATTTTGACTAGTTGAATTACAGTTTTAAAACGTACGAAATATCACATTTCGCCCGCAAAATATCAGCGGGACCCGATCAACCTGCCAAAGGGGGGGGGGGGGGGGGGGGGGGGGGCTTAAGGGTCGTCTTTGCATCCTCGGCCTGTCCTAAAAACCAGACCCCCCTTCAAATAATCCTGAATACCGAACTAGTTGCTATGAAAATATAGCTGTAACCCTGCCTAAGAGAAGTTAACATCACTGTGGTTACAGTAACTTACTGATGTTTTACTCCTCAGTGTGATAAGTATTACTATCAGTAGTCACATGGCCTTATGATGGCGACGGGGGAGGGGGGAAGCACATGCCCTGCATCACAGCTGTAATTATAGGGACTTCATCTTGTTATGCTGGATACGACATAGATATAGACATATGCAGTGTCTATGTATTCTTCTACAAAGCTAAACAATTGTAATGCTCAAAATCTATAGAGCAGATACGCCTAGATGTATTAGTACACGTATGTGTTCTGGTATCAAAGATGAGAACTTCACAGCTGCGGGTAAATTATCGCAATGTGCAGCAGTAATCCATTGGATCTTAAATACTCTTATCCTACCACCGTCAGCAACATGATAGCGAGTATCAGCAGTCTCTTCCACTGCTGTAAACATCTACCAATCACACGTGTAGTTTAAATAGCGCACACGCTTATTTATTTTTTTTTCTGATTATATCACTCAGCGTACAGAGAGAGAGAGAGAGAGAGAGAGAGAGAGAGAGAGATCTAAGCTGACATAACTATTCTGTCCATATGACTGCTGAGTCACGGACCCCTTTGTTCTTCACAATATTCACATAAAATAGCTTCAAACAAATAACTACCCTACTGACTCCTACCCCCCCCCACCCCCCACCCCCACCCCTCCCACCCCTTCCCTGTGTGCTCTCTCCAAGACTGGGAGAGGTGTTCCTTCCCACAGATTTGAGACACACAGAGTATTGTATTTAGAGCGGGTAGACATTTCTTTTATCCCGTCATTAACCAAAAGCCGTTCAGAAGCTACTGAGTGTAATAACAAGCAGGTGCCCGAGATATACACCAACACCACCACCTCGCACGCGTGGCGTCCTCTAAAATTTCTAATACAACAAACAGTCGTATTCAAGCTCAGACGATAGCTAAATGATTAATTAATAACTAAGCAAACTTAATTCTTACTGCGCAAATATATATTTTGTTTGACGTTGATTAAACCAGCGTCATAAAACCAACCATAAAATATTCAGAAATATTTTATATGCAGTAACGTAAGCGTAATTTCTTCTCTTTACAATGCTGTGCTTAACACTGACATGAAATTTAACTAGTTGATTAATATTTTTGTAAAATAATCTGGTCTTAAATTTTCATTTCATGAAATCGTAAAAATATCTTTCATAATAATCTTGTCATTTCAGGTTAAGGAACGCCAGTCGCCATTATGGAGGTAAATAATTTCCCTGAACTGCTTTTTGCTGACATCACGCAAAAATCTCTGAGTCTGTTAAAAACGAGCATTATGCATCCCCTACCTTTTACACGTTTCCTCTCTCAAATTTGAAGGTCCTTAAAATCCTTTTCCTTTATGCCGATCCAGAACAAAATTTTGTTTCGTAAAAAAGCCTCTGCCCACTGTCTGCTTTCTACATCTGATTATGCCTACTGTAAAAATCGTTTTCTGCATTTGTTGAGGGGGGATCGTAAGGGGAAATTGATCAGGCATCAATTAACTTGACGCATTTCTGATGTCTTCGCTACCGCAATGATACAGACGTGGAAGGATGATAATACACGCATGTCGACATTTAGCATTGACATGTGGTTACCGACAACAGGTTCCATTTCAATTCAATTATTTGCTTCTGGTAGGCCTATATGTATTTCTTTTGTTTGGTAATAGTTTTTCGTTTCTCAAAAATGGCGTTGAACATTAGTGTGAACTGTGGAAAGTTTCGCAAACATCACGATCAATGTTAATCGTATACAGGCTGACGTTGACAGAGAATTTTGTAAAAACTGTCTTAAAATATGTTGTAATTTCAAACTGCAAATTTGTGATTATACAGATTTGGAAGGATAAGTTAATTACCCTGTGTCTAGATGGGGTGCGCTTACCACACAACAACCATAGATGGCGCTCCATTACACGACATATTCATGGTTATATCAATGATATACATGATGAAGATTGAAGGAAGAGGAAGAAGAACAATAAAACACCTTTATCACCGACAGAAGTCTGCTGAAGCAAAGTTATATATCCTCGCTTGACAAATGGGTTGATTTGAATTGAAGTAACAATTCTTCTATAGCCTGTTGGCTCGTTAACTTTGTCGAAATCTACTCTTAACGGTAGAAATGTAATTTAAAAAGATCTCAAAAAACGGGTGCAACAGATATTTTCTCAATTATTATGTAAAGAACATACTTTGGTGATGCAAGTGGTATATGTTGACATTTTTTGTAAGTTCTCTTATTCTATCGCACTGCATTATGTATGTCCTTCAAGAAGATCAAGAACTTCTTCAGAAAGGATCAGGACGATATCACAATGGTGATTGTCGGAAAATGGATATTGGCTTGTAACAAAATCAGTATAAAAGCAGCGACTCTGATATTCTAAGTACCGTGAGTGTAACGAAACGGAGGGTCGGTGTAACAGAAAGTCCGCCCTCCATATAGTTATAATGGTTAGGGTTAGGTATTCTCTAAACCGGTGGAAGGTGTTCCCATTTAACCGTTTCGACTAGATGAAAGAGGATTCAAAGTCAATCAAGTGCCGACTAGATTGCCTCAAATGTCGACCTTCATGCTACGCGGGTAAGACCTCAAAACTCCCTGTGTTTAAAACTCCCGTGACGATATGTGACGACACTAATAAATGGCGCTAGTAAGTGTTTAACACTATACTGCATAGATGGAATAAAAACAGTTAAACGTATTATTCTGAAACGAGACAAATGACTTATTTTACGACTGATATGGTTCAAAGTGCGACGAAGGACACACTGCAGGATGTGAATATCTATAACCCCGGGCCGAGAATGTCAAGACAGAGTGTTACATATGTACGAGGTCCTACATGGGCAGGTCACCTGCGTAGCATGTAAGGCCGAAAACTGCGGTAATCTTGTCGATCACTGGATTGACCACACAGTCGTCCACAGTCAATTGTCCTGTCTTCACCCTCTACTTTTGTGTTTATATCGGCATCAAAGCATCCTTAAGGCAAAAAAAAGTTTAAATTTTGAAATAAACGTATCCCCTTAATACGGTTTCATAGACACTAAAGATTAAGAGTACGAAGGTCCGGTCCAGCCACATCACACACACACACACACACACGTGTTGAATTGCCCGATTTCAACATCCTTCCCTCGACAAAATAAAGAACTGATTTACGAGTATGAACACTCAGTGATTTATAAGTGTGAGCTGTCTTCACGAACACAAAATATTTAATTGGATCACACAGGTGAGATCAATGGCTCGTGTCCAGGGACATCAACACGTCTGAATAGTGAAATGTTTTATTCGTCAGAGAATTAAAATGATAACCATCATCTGCTCCAACGTACGAAGTATTCCATTGTTCATTACTTTTGCCATTATCACATGACATACCCGGTAGTTTATTGTTTCATAGTTTTTTCATTGTAACGTATTCATCCACCTGGATGGATAAAAATAAAAATATAAATGTAATTTTAAATGAGTATGCTATTAACTAATTACAATTGTTAGACTTCTCACTGAAGACAATTCTTTAAGCCAAGTTACTAGTACTAATACTCAGTTGTCGTTAGGGATGAATTATTATTGCATATCAAAGTGAATGCCGTGGACTCTATAGCTGAAGATGCACAGCAAACTACCCTGTAGCCGTATATCAGTTCATTTTCACTTCCCAAAAGATACTTTACAGCCAGAGACGAGAACATCGGACATAATTAAAGACAAGACTGAGCAAAGAAACACTGTTATACAAACAGCAGTTCTTTGATCATTTGTCTTTCTGATGTTTTTCGGTATCTTACTTCGTATTCTGCAAAAGAGAGTTCAGACAGGGCTGTTGACACCTACCCCCACCCCACACACATCCCCTCTAAATCTTCCCTGAATTACACTTACAGTATTAAAGGTGAGCACACACTTACGGCATAATTTATATCTTAATGCCCTCCCTCCCTCTCGTGATCGCGGTGACGATAACAGCGGGTAAACGACTAATTGTGTGTCATGGTGACCCAGGTGACGGTCAGCTCATTTACTGTGACAGACGGAGACGCTGCAGCACAATATACACATAGTTAACCAGGTGTCGTGAAGAAAACATTAGGAGCTTAAGCGTCGGTGTCGAGAAAGAACATCATTAACAGCCACAATACTTTTGTTTCATTAATAATAATACTACACCGGTAGGTGTAGTCTTCAACAGGACCACATGAAGCGGTGACTGTGTGCCAGGTAAACAGGCTTTTCATCACCTTTGATTGGGTCCCCCGTGTGATGACAGTAAACACGACAACCAGCTTGTATAAAAACTGCGCCAATGTTCGTCTCTGGCATCTTGCTGGCATAACACTAACTGTCCCAGTCGCCCCGTGGTCCTGCTGTCACACGTTCAAGATGATGAAGCTGGTAGTCCTCACACTCCTCGTGGCCGCAGCCACCGCTGTCTACGTGGACAGGATCGGCAGTTATGGTCGCCATGGATACGGGTACAACACCCGCGGCTACGCCAAGAAAGGCTACGGCTACCAGATTGCAGGCCGCCCTGAGGATTACATCTCTAGGTAAGTAATGAACATTGTGAATTTTTGAATTTTATGTTAAAATTATGCTGCCTGTGGATATCCCGTAAGATCTTTGTGGAAAATTTACTTTTTGGGCACGTTCTCCATTATTTGATTTATCATTTTGAATTCCTGAGATAAGTTCAGAGGAATAAGAGCGTGCAATATATTAAATTGCTCCGGAAAATGGTTAAAACTGTTTTCAAGACGTCTTGTTAAATACGTACTATACATGTAGTTATACGATACTGCCTATATGTTTCTCTCTCTCTCTCTCTCTCTCATCTTCAAAAGGGATAGTATTCTATCTTTAAAAAGACAGTAAGTATCACCATGTATTGCAACCCAGTATAGATTGGTCAGATACGTATTCATAACGTAACGCTTCTTTCTCCTCTAGCTGCGGCGGCAACGCTTACAGCACCTACAACGAGGACTGCTGTGGCGGAGTGATCTACAACAGACGCTACCAGGACTGCTGTGCTGGTCACCTGGTCATCAACAAGCCTGCCCAGTGTCCAGGTCTTCCCCGCGTCCACGTCAACTACGGCTACAACAAAGGTTACGACGCTGGTTACGCTCCCAGATACGACGCTGGTTACGCCCCCAGATACGACGCTGGCTACGGCTACGGCAAGAATTATTAAGAAACTCTGCTGCCTGTTGTGATAAGAGCTATAAAGAAACGCCTAACCAGGCTCCCTCTCTCTCCAGTTAAGACATTGAGCTGACTTTACAATAAGAGCATTGTGGAATTAAGCCTTATCATGTTGTTTTAGTTTTTAACTGTTCACCAGATTTGTGAATAAATGTGCTTTATATGAACATGTCGATTTCTTTGACTTTTACATTTGACTTTAAATTATTTTGTGGCGTTGTTTCAATGATTTTGAGCTTTGAAACTTAAAACAAATTGAGAAAATATTTCCAAAATACCATTGATATCATACCAATAACACTAAGACCCCATTTCCAGAGATTAGATCGATCTATTTTAGATCGACCTAACTCCCTGGGGGTTCACGCTAAATAGCTGTCAGCCGAGCGGAAACGAAAGTTAATTATCCCTTTACAGCTTATAGTAGGCGGGACGGACATTTAAGCCGGATTATCTGACAGTAATCTAGTGAGACTCCCCGCGGGGATAGATCGATCTAAAAGCTCTGGGAATACAGCCTAAAATATCAAATAACAATTTAATGAACATAACTGCATTTCTTATAGTTTTACGTTAAAACATTAATTATTCTGGAGTTCAATTATGCCAACAATGCAGTGCAATGCAAAGCTTTGAAAATGCAGGTACAAAAATTGTACAAAAAAATCTTTAAAAATGTTCAAGAAGATACCGGTCAAACCGTTATGGTGAGTACAGAAATGTTTAAATCATGGACGCTGTACACTCGCTAAGTAATTAAGGCTCTGTCACACCTAGCGTAAAGACGTATGCATCAGCATCGAATGTGGCATCGTTTAAGCGCGCAACTGTATTTTGCACGTAAACCATCACCCTGTGCCCAGCGTGGTAAAATGAAGATACAAGCAGCGTGTGAAATTGTAGTTTTTTGAACATGCTTTACACATTCTCTCTACGGGTGTGTGAACGTGCACCAAAGTCTGCTTGCGTACACGACGTAATGCTTGCGAATCCCCCTGCGCTTGCCTTTGCATTGGACGTTTTTTTCTGATGCGTTAGTGCTATACGATAGATGTGACATAAGGACGACCTTCAGGACCTCGACCTTGCATGCACACACGGGCAACGTCTAGCGCTAAAATGGCCATTAGACGGATGTAATCTTAAATCGTCAGGCAGCAAATGTTTGATGCAATGGACTCCATAATGTCTCCTTGAAAATACTAGTACGTTTAATTGCTAGCCGTATTTATGCAAGTTTAATGCGTCTTGCTTTTACAAGAAAAAACACCTGTAATTTCATGTGTTTCAATATGGCATCAAGAATATGTTCAGCACATTCTATATGCTCATAAAAGTTGTCGGGTGGATCTCTGTTGGTGGATCTCTGTTAAAATTCTCTGTTAAAATTCAGGGGCTGATCAATGATTATTCAAAGGAGGGGAGGGGATTTAGAATGACAGGCCTCGGATTGTGCCCCCCCCCCAACCCAACCTCCCCCACCCTCATTCCGTAACTGAATGGCGTATGACTGGTCTGTGCCGGTGTAACGAAACTGAGGGCCCGTGTGACAGAAGGTCTGTCCTCCATATAGGGTTAGTGTGACCTAAGTGGGTCAAAATCTAGGACGAGGCTCAACTGTACAAATGTATGGGAAGCGGACTCTCTTTCATTATCTGTCACATTCCACCGGATAAGTAGGGAATCACTAAGGAAAACGTCTTTTCAAGACAAGAACTCAAACCCAGACTGCCATCCAGCTTTTTCCTTTGGCTGAACTGTCGTACCCTCCCCTCCCCACTTCTTTAGTAGTTAGAGGACCTACCGGCAATAGCACTAAGGACAATAAACCTTGACCTTGGGTTTGAGTGACCAGTCAGGTTTGAGTGACCAGCCTTCTTTCAGGAACATAATTACACATAACAAAAGATAATCTAAGCCGCTGTTTATTTCTATTAGGAATGTGTGTTGTGTAACACAAAGTGGAAATCTGAAACTGAAAGTCCTTGGCAAAAGTCAGCACCGATGTAACGGATAAATGTGGCATTACATTTTACATCTATAACAAGAGCAAGAATATATGCGTTGACAAAGGATTTGATATTTTGAAGGTGCTAGCGTAGTTAATTCATGAGTTTGGTGAAAACAGGCGACTGGGATGTCATTCCCTATTCAGTCCAGGGGACTTTCTGTACGTAGCTTAAGCCTATTTTATTCTTCGGTTACGTCTTGCAGGCACAACTCTATTTCTTGCGGCACGCGCAGCGGTTTTATAGGCCTGGAAGGACTCGAACTCAAGGACGCAGCGTTTGGGCTTTATGTAACCAGGAATCCATAACCAGGATGCCATGTCATTTATTTCTGTCATGTTGGTATCGGGTCCCACGGCCACGACACAGATGACGATTCCTGAAACCGAACAACAGCACCAGTATCGTATAGCGTCATCTTTTATGATATATTGATAACAAAGTGAAGGAAAGGAACAACTTAATGGAACCCAATTTGACAATAGTCAGAACTGAATGTTGCCTAGAATAAAGAGAAAACCAAAAGATATCTGTGACTGATACATGTAGATGGATGATCTTTTGGTTTATTAGTCAAATGATACATGTATGTTTCCTTTTCCCTATTTTCTATGCTTCGAAACAAATTGAAATCTACCCGTGCTCTTCATAGCGTTTGCCTTTGGGACAGGGTTGCCCCCTTGATTAGATTTTCCGTCTGTTGTCATCCACACAAGTCGCTTGCCTTGAACGCCAAGTTCGTTCTGGCAGAGTTGCAGTCCTTTCTTAGTGTTTGTTTGAATTCCTGCAATCGCAAAGAAATTTTGTTGGTTTCAGTACCAATGAACAGCTTATCTTTAAGGTAAGGCCTTAGATCTTTTACGATCCTATCTTGTTGGGAGAATGCATCAAGTTAATATAAATGGTGTGCTTTCTGAACTCTCACAGCTTTTATTTGGTGTTCCTCAGGGGAGCGTGCTTGGCTCGCTTAAGTTTTGTGTTTACACGTTACCCCTTGGAGCAATTCTGCGTTATCATAAGATAGGTTACCACTTTTATGCCGATGATACCCAGGTGTACACATCTTGTAACATCCATGATCCAGCATTGTCTGTGAACACAATTGTTGATTGCATATCAGACCTCAGAGGTTGGCTCATTTTAAACAAATTGAAGATAAATGATGGAAAAACGGAATTTTTAGTCATTACTCAACCCCACAACAAGGGCCTTGCTCACAACTTGCAACTTAAAATTGGAGCTAGTATGGCATTTTCCTCCCCCCATGTAAAAAATTTAGGAGTATACTTTGATTCTACACTTTCAATGGACAAACAGATCTCCAACATCACAAGGTCTTGTTTATTCAACATTCGGAATATTGGCACCATAAGGAAACATATGAATCAATCATCTGCTGCTACTGTTATACACTCATTGGTAACTTCCAGGCTAGACTTTTGCAATTCTGTATTATATGGATGTCCAGATGATAAGATCAAAAGATTACAACGCATCCAGAATATCTCAGCACGGCTTTTAATGCTACAGCCTAGGGATTGCCATATCACTCCAATTTTAAAGCATCTGCACTGGTTACCAGTTAGGGCCAGAATTTTATTTAAGGTTTTAGTTTTTACACATGCTGCTTTTTATAATCTAGCTCCACCATATATAACTGATCTAGTCAAACATTATAGCCCTCAAAGATCCCTGAGGTCTGGTGACAAACTTTTACTGAAAGTTCCAAAATCAAGGTTAAAATCATATGGTGACATATCATTTTGTGTAGCTGCACCAGTAGAGTGGAATAAGTTGCCAATTTTTATTAAACAAATAGAATCACAAGAATCTTTTAAAAAGGAATTAAAAACTCATATTTTTAAGACATTTTATTCATGAATTTGAAATTTTACAATTTTAAAGAAACCTTGGATTTTTTACTTTTAATTACTGTTTATTACAATTTAGTTTAGCTCTTATTTATATAAAATATATCTTAACCATTTTTATCTATAAACTTCTTTGTATTTTATGTTGTATAGTCTATTGAACATTTTATGGATTTTAGACTTGAAATAAATATATTATTATTATATTATTATCTTTTATCCGTGCATTGTTTCTGTTCGGATATCATGTTCGCAAAATTATGCATATGCATATATAAAAAGTTACCTTTCATATTCCACGAGCCAAACGGTGGTGCATATGAATCTTCACGAAAATTAAAATGAAATATTATTAATCTCTCAATTTACAATTTACAGTTTACCCACTAGCTTCAGTGGGCGCGACAGACATTTAAGCAAATTAAACTAAACGCAATTTAGCAAGAGTCCCCTCGGAGTAAGATCGAAACTGCTAGTACGATAGGGTTTCGGAAACCCAGTCTAAGACTGTTTTTAATATCGTACCTTTTTTCGGCACACTTGCAATTGCCATATAGTTCTGTGAAAAGAGCCCATACGTGCCCAAACCGAAAATAACTTTAGTAACATCTTCGTCAGAGAATCGCACCAACCCGATCCTGTGTCTAATAGGATGGACGCTGTCCGCAGCTGGCGTGTTGTCAATTATGAAAAGGGTATCCTGAAGGAGAATGAATGTAGTAAAGGCTATATCAGCTTAGTAATTTTCAGCGACAGTATCACAGCAACGGTTCCTTGTCAAATTGTTAAAAAAAGCAATTATAAGTGGCAGTTTAACTGTGTCACCAACCTAGTTTATTTAGCATTTACAAGTGTAAGAATATTTTATTTCATTCTTCATGATCAATTTTCAATTAAAATTCATTCACAATTTCAAAGTATTTACAAGTGAAAATAAAACACAATGTTGATCAAAAATGACACAATATCAGTTTATGCTTTTCTGAATATATATATATATATATATATATATATATATATATATATATATATATATATGGCGCTAATGCCAGATTAATTACATTCCAAAAATATATCATTCCACACTACACATGGTACTCTTTCATTAAGCAATATTGGATTCTTCTGATTTATTCAAAGCAAGTTTTAATCTTACTTCTCTGGAAGTAATATCTTTTAGTTGCATTCCTTCAAAGGTTTATTTATGCTCTCCTGATTAACCATAATTTTTAATTAACTGATGAGTAATGCAATTTCTATTAATTTGATATATATTGATAAAGGTTATTCCTTTCTGCCCAACCACCTGTGAAATCTCTTCATAAGTACAAAGTCTATTTTCTTTAACTAAACCTCTAATATAAATGATTCCACTTTTATCCAACGAGTGAAACACAAAGGTAAATTATACTGCTTGATATAGGTATTGGTCCACAAAATAGATCCATCTTAAGGATATTGTATATCTTTAATATCATCCAGATACCGAAAATGAGTTTTTTCCTGCATGCATCTAATTATTCAATAATGCGTCTTTCTTTGTGCTGATTTGGGGTAATATTACAACAAAATACACTTGAACTTTTTCCTAACTGCCCATACAAGTACTTCGGGATCACTCTCCAGTGACCATCCCCTTGAGAACATAACAACCCATTTAATGGCATTCTTCATGATCAAATCTGGCTGAACCGAAGTCAAATACGCAGTACCCATGATAAAATGATTCTGACGGTCATCTACAGACTTATACTGTTACTACATGCTCGAAACCTAGTAGGCTGAAACAGAGTTACCGTATTGTTGATACAGCGTCCAGATAAGAAAAAGATCTATTTAGCCAATAAACATTTTTAAAATTAATAATCAGAATCATTTACCCTGTAAAACAAAGGGCATTCGTAAAATTAAAGTTAATTAATTGCCCAAATGTAGAATAACCTACCAACGTCGCTTGTTTGGAATAGTACCACTCAGTAGTATTTATGCTTCCGCTGCTGTCAACGTCAAATATCACCTTCCAGTAGGGAGGAGAGCCGCCCATCAACAGTCCAATAATTTGGTCAATTGTAAGAGCGTCCACTCGCTGGTTTATACACGCCGCGCCCACGGCGGTCAACAGTAGCAATGCGGATAGGTTCATCTTCAGTGACGTCAGATGTTAGCTTCCTTTATCACCTACAGGAAGTTCATTGGTGCTTCACGGAGACTGGCGTCTTTTTATACCTACCTGTATCTACTTTTCCCCATTAAACAGAAATTAAACTATTTCCTCGTACCCTGGAGGTACACCGGGAACAGCGCCATTTTGAATGTTATTTCAGTAATTAGTCTCGAGAGAACATGTGTTGATGGACATTTAATTTTATTTCAGAATCAATTACTTTTTGTACATGTCAAAATTACCTTGTTTACCGAATATTTTTGAACCGTGCTATGTGCTTTATTGAGGAAGTCAGATTGAACCAATCAGAAACCGCCGTCAGGAATTTTTCGGCTCCTTATTTAAAAAATCCTGAATACGTGACCCAGAAAGACGCACATTTATGTTAGCATACGTGTATCTAAATTTTACTCTGATATTTCTACGTAAGCGAAAAAAAATTATAATTTCCTTAAAGCCTCGATCCAAATGCAGCATATACTGCATTGTCAAACATTTCCGGCAGAGCACGTGCCCCCGACTATATATCCATCTGTGGAAGTTGAGTGTTTGCCACACTTCCTTCATTTGGTTGACAAGGGAAGCAAAAAACGCGAGCATATTCAATTTGTATGATACCAATTTTGACAACCTGGAGAATGCACACTGACTCAAAATGATTTTGGTTCTGCAATGCTTCTTTTCCCCACCAAAGACATGGACACTATGGTGGCAATGAGATACTTTGGTCTGCTTATCCTATCATCCTATTTAAAGGGCATCTTACCGATATGAGCAAAAATGAAACATATCTCAAACTTTTTCTTACGTATGTCGGTCACGATCTAAAGCAAAATTCACCTTTGGGGTAGATGACAATTTAAAAAGTAAATTGTTTCAAATCCAAGTCTGTATTGGAGAACGTCCTCTCCCCAAAATAGAGAAGACGTCAACCGCAGGAGTTCCCAAGGTCTTAGCCAATCAGAGTGCGTTGCCTAAATTAGGACGCCGTCCAGTGTAAAGGGGGTATAAGCCTGGGTTAGTCGCAAGGAGGTTGCCATTGGTTTTAGGGGTCGCATAAGGTTGCTAACAGATTGCCTGCGATCGTTGACACATGAAGGCCATTTTTTGAGCACCGACAACAAGTGCGACTAAAGATGAAAAATATCGGTATCTTAAAGGTTGTCAATCGGTCTCTTCTTGGTTGTCAGTAGGTCGCTAGAAGGTTGCAGTTGTAACTCCGTGGTCGATTGACGGCCTTTGGTCGCTTGGCCGCTAACAGGTTTTTTTGCCGGTCGCAGGCATTCGAAGACATGTCGCAGGAAGGCAGGAAGGTTGCAAGCGACCGCAATAAAATAGGCGTAGGATGGTCGTCTATTTTGGCAAGCCTTTTTTACATAATTGTCACCTATACCTTCTAAATGTCAAGATTATAGATTATAATGTTTTACAAAAAGAAAAAAATTCCATTTGTTTGCAAGATTTTACACTTTTTACAATAATTGCCAAGGCTTTCATATACCAAGTTTTTCAAACTTACGAAATCTAAAAAATTAATGTGAGGCTATGTTTTATCGCTGTATGTCATTTAAAATTTGAGTAAACCATGAAACAAACATACAAATGCAGAGAAAGCAGAAAATCTAAACAAATCATCAGCAATGTATAATTATTATTATTTAATATCATATTTTAACCATCAAAATTATCTACAAATAATTGAGCAGATCGTTAAATGTGTCCAATAATCTTGAATAAAAATAGTTTCAATACAAACAATTTAACAACCTTTCCAGTACTTGGTATTCTCACTACAAGGATGAGAGTGTAAAAAGTACACGGTGCGCACGACCTGCCACGATTTAATTACGTTGTAATTGGCAAAGGCCTGGGGTTAAAAAGACAAAGGGAAAACCACACATCCGGTTGAAAATCAGTCGCAAAGCAGTCGCCGACTTGTTGGCAGCCGGTTTGATACCACAAGCGGGGGTTTCAGTCGCCAGGAGGTTATCTGGCTGCATCGAAAAACGGCGCAACCGGATATCAACACAACACCCATTAATCCAAGTTACTAATACTACTACTCAGTTGTCGTTAGGGGTGTATTATTATTGCATATCAAGTAGTATGTCGTGGACTCTACAAATGCTACTCTCTAAATTGACTCTACAGCAAACTATAGCCCTTAACCCCTTGCTGTAGTGGTAAAATAACTACTGTTTTTTTATTTCTTTTTGTGACATATACTGTATATACAACATTGGTCAATATGGTTGTCCCATCCTCAGTTTCATGTATAAATGATCACATCGCAAAAGTTAATTGCTATGAATGGTGATTTTCATTCCAGATGCCATAACTAACATGATTAGTGGTACAGAAAATACAAACTAGCCGTTAAGATATCCATATTCAATACCATTTATTCACATTTATTACATGTACCCCTTCATATCCGATGTTCCACTGTCATTTCCAGGAAGATAAAAAAAAATGCCCATTAAATTGAAATGACACCACCAAATGTCACCAAATGTACACACATTTAGCATTAGAGCGTCCTCGTTAACGGCTCCTTGTCCGTTTGTGTTTACTGCGTACCAATTACCTCCTGTAGGTGGCGCGGCCTGCATTCAACAAGGGTAACAATTCTGTTTTATGGGATATTGTCCCATTCTTCCTAAAGAGCTTGTGGAAGTTGGTCCAGATTATAAGGGGTTTGGTTCTCTTTGCATTGCACACTTCAATTCATGCCACAGATGTTTAGTAAGGTTAATAACAGGGCTCAAAGACGGTTTCTCCAGCCTCAGAACATTGGGTCTCTGCAACAAATCATTCAGCGTAGGAGATTTGTGAGCAAATGCATTTCCACGATGACGCCTGCAGTATCTCAGTTTATCATTATTTCCCAAGAGATACTTTACTTTGAGCTTAAAGCCAGAGACGAGAAGATCGGACATAATTAAAAATAAGACTGAGCAAGACTTGTGAAGATTATTTTGTCTATAGCTACATATATTTGTCTGATCTTACCATCCAATATTTCGTCTGCTTGCAGACGTATTTATAAGACTGGGCAAATCAACACTGTAGTACAAACAGCAATTCTTTGATTAATTGTGTTTCTGATGTTTTTCGGTGTCTTTATTCATAGCCTTTTAAGGAGCTAAAACAGGGGTGTTGAATCCCTTTTAATCTTCCCCGATTTACACTTATTAAAGGTGAGGACACACGGCATAAATCATATTTAATGTCCTCTGTCCCTCACGTGATCGTGGTGACGATAACAGCGGGTAAACGACTAATTGTGTGTCATAGTGCCCCAGGTGTTGGTCAACTCATTTACTGTGACAGGCGGAGACGCTGCAGCATAATATACACACTTAACCAGACCTCTTAAATAAAACATGAGGAGCTTAAGCGTCGGTGTCGAGAAAGAACATCATTAACAGCTACAATACTTTTGTTTCATTAGTAGTAACGCGTACAAGTAGTTGCAGTCTTCAACAGGACCACATGAAGCGGTGACTGTGTGCCTAGTAAACGGGTTTTCATCACCTTTGGTTGGGTCCCCCGTGTGATGACAGTAAACACGACAACCAGCTTGTATAAAAACTGCGCCAATGTTCGTCTCTGGCATCTTGCTGGCAAAACACTAACTGTCCCAGTCGCCCCGTGGTCCTGCTGTCACAAGTTCAAGATGATGAAGCTGGTCGTCCTCACCCTTCTAGTGGCCGCAGCCACCGCTGTCTACGTGGACAGGATCGGCAGCTATGGTCGCCATGGATACGGGTATAACACCCGCGGCTACGCCAAGACAGGCTACGGCTACCAGATTGCAGGCCGCCCTGAGGATTATATCTCTAGGTGAGTAATGACGTCTCAATGAACGTTGTGAATTTTGAATTTTATGTTGAAAATTATGCTGCCTGTGGATTTGGCGACTTTCTCATAACATCTCTGTGATCAATATACTTATTGGACAAGTTCCACATTGTTTGATCTACCGTTTTGAATTCTTAGATAATTTTAGAGGAATAAGAGCGTGCAACAAGTTAAATTGCTGCGGAGTATGGTTAAAAGTGTTTTCAAAAGTCTTGTTAAATACGTACTATACATGTAGTTATACGAAAATGCCTATATGTTTCTCCTCTCTCTCTCTCTCTCTCTCTCTCTCTCTCTCTCTCTCTCTGAGCTTCAAAAGGGATAGTATTCTATCTTAAAAAAGACTGAGTATCACCATGTATTGCAACCCAGTATAGATTGGTCTGATACGTATTTATAACGTTACACTTTTTTCTCCACTAGCTGCGGCGGCAACGCCTACAGCACCTACAACGAGGATTGCTGTGGCGGAGTGATCTACAACAGACGCTACCAGGACTGCTGTGCCGGTCACTTGGTCATCAACAAGCCTGCCCAGTGTCCAGGTCTTCCACGCGTCCACGTCAACTACGGCTACAACAAAGGTTACGACGCTGGTTACGCCCCCAGATACGACGCTGGCTACGGCTACGGCAAGAATTATTAAGAAACTTTGCTGCCTGTTGTGATAAGAGCTATGAAGAAACGCCCAGCAAGGCTCCCTCTCTCTCCAGTTAAGACCTTGAGCTGACTTTACAATGAGAGCATCGTGGAATTAATTGTATCATGTTTTTTTATTTTTATTCTTTATTATTATTATTATTATTATTATTATTATTATTATTATTATTATTATTAATAGCACTGAGGAATTAAGCCTTATCATGTTGTTTTAGTTTTTAACTGCACATTTTTAAATAAATTTTTATATGATTTCTGTATAATTCTTAGACTTTTATATTTGACTTTAAACTGTTTTGTAGCGAAGTTTCAATGATTTTGAGCGATGAAATCCATAGGGATATCATAACAATATCCCTAAAATATCAAATAACAGTTTAATTAACGTAACTGCATTTCTTATAGTTTTATGTTAAAACATTAATTTTTCTGGAGTTCAACAATGTCAACAATGCAGTGGACTTTTACCAAAGCTTTCAAAATGCGGCTATAAATTGTACAAAAATTTTGAAAATGCTCAAGAAGATACCGGTCAAACCGAACATTAAATGTCTCTTTGAAAATACTAATACTAATACATTTAATTGCAAGTCGTATTTATACTAGTTTAACACGTCTTGATTTTACAAACAAAATCAGTAAGTTTAGGCTATGTGTTTCAATATGTCAACACGAACATGTTTAGCACATTTTATATGCTCATAAAAGTCATAGCTACATTTGCTAAATATCGGGTGGATAACCTATAAATGATCTCTAGGCTCTAGCTGCTAAAACTCAGGGGCAGATCAACGATTATTCAAAGGGGGGGGGGACGGATGACAGCCCTCGGATTGCTTGTACCCCCAACTAACCCTCCACACCCTCAATCCATAACTGAATGGCGCATGACTGGTCTGGGCCCCGGATCTCGAAAGCATCGCGCATTGCAAACGTGCGCAAGCGTCTCTATTCCATAACTCGCCCATACTCGCCCCATATAATACATTGTAGCCTCTCTGTGATGGGGGACTTTCTGTCACCTTGCGCCTGATAAGTAAGGAAGCACTTAGGAAAACGTCTTTCCAAGGAAAGAACTCAATCCCAGACTGCCATCCAGCCATCTTTTTACCTTGTCATACCCTCCCCCTTCGAACTTCTCTGGTAGTTAGAGGACTTATTTACCGGTAGTAGCACCAAGGATAATAAAGGGTAGACCGGAGCTAGTTGGACCCCGGGGTAAGTTGCCCCCCTCTCCATCAAGTATCTGTAATTAAAATACTTTAATATGCTAAATTATTTCATTAGGACTCACTGTCGACGCTATCTTAGCACTGTTGGATACGGTCACTCACTTAATTAAATGACGTGATTAATTCTTTTAGCCTATAGTTACTTTTCCATAAATTCATGGGGGCCAACTTACCCTGGGGTCCAACTAGCCTTAACAGGCAGTTACACGAAAATTCAAACAATTTTCAAATTCTTATTTTTGAAAAAGAAAAGCTGGTTTTCAACAAACAATTTAAATCAAAAAGTTATATCAACAGGTTTAGAGGATCTTTCTTCAGAAATATAATAACACATAACAAACGATTACCTGAACCGCTGTTTATTTCTATTAGTAATATATGTTGTGTTACACAAAGTGTAATTCTGAAACTGAAAGTCCTCGGCAAAAGTCAGCACCGATGTAACGGACAAATGTGGCATTACATTTTACATCTATAACCAGAGCAAGAATTTATGCATTCACAAAAGATTTGATATTTCGGAGGTGCTAGCATAGTTAATTCATCAGTTAGGTGAAAACAGACGACAGGAACGTCCTTTCCTATTCTGTCCAGGAGCCTTTCTGTACGTAGCTTAAGCCTAGTTTATTCTTCGGTTACGTCTTGCAGACACAACTCTACTTCTTGCGTCACGCGCAGCGGTTTTATAGGCTTGGAAGGACTCGAACTCTAGGACGCAGAGTTGGGGTCTGCGGTAACCAGGAATCATTATCTTTGATGCCATGCCATTTATTTCAACCATGTCGGCATCGGGTCCCACGGCCACGACACAGATTACGATTCCTGAAACAGAACAACAGCACTATGAATTAATGTTGACCTAAGTGCTATTTTGACTGATGCTAATAAAATGAAATAATGGGAAGCCATTGAAAGGTACAGCTTTGACATTAATCAGATCTTGGTTTTGTTACCCAGTTTTTTTTATAGAACGGCAAGCAAATTCACATAAATGGTTCATTGTTTCCTGTAAATGTTCACCGTCTAGGTTAAGTGAGCATGGGACGCAGGGATCTTTTTCCTGTTTTCTGTATAGCCACCTTACGATGGGTAAAATCTATCATGAGCAAACAATAGAGTTTTACACAAATATGGGCTTTAGAACCAATTCCTAAATAATCTTGACCGATTCCGCCACGCTCTTTAGGATGAATGGGACAATCCTACAAAACAGAATTGTAACCCATGTTGAAGGCTTGTCGCGCCGTCTACAGGAGATAATTGCAGTACGCGATAGACGCACACGCTATTAGGCACGTGGCCTTTAACGAGCACACCCTTATGCTAATTGTGTGTGAATTTGGTGACATTTGATGGCGTCTTTTCAATTTTATAGACATTTCTTTACATCTGTAGACGTCACAGTGAAACAGTTGATTTGAGGGGGTACCTCTTATAAATTTTACAAAATGGAATAAAATATGTACATTTTCACCACTATTTTGTATTTTTTAAACCATTAATCATGTAAGACACGGTATCCGTAATAAAAAGCACTGTTTCTAACAATTTACAGCTGTAAGGTAATCATTTGTAAATAAAAGTACATGGAAAGGGGGGTGGGACAACCTTTTTGACCAATGTTGTATAGTGCACATATGCTTTAAATCACGTTTACCTTTTTTCTGCATAAGTTTTGCCTTGGCGACTGGGTCGCCCCCTTGATTAGATTTCCCGTCTGTTGTCATCCACACCAGTCGCTTGCCAGAGCCACCAAATTCGATCTCACAGAGATGTAGTCCTAACACTGTGTTTGTTGCACCGGCTGTAATTGTATAGAAATTGTGCTAGTTTCAGTAGAAATGGAGATAACTCTTCTCCCTTTCTTTCTTATATTAGGAAATCATTTTGGTCAAACATTCGCATAATAAAAACAGCACCTGTCACTCTTCCCAGAACCGAACTTTGGACCCTACGTCTCTTAAATGGTTATAAACTTACTATTTACCAAAGTTTTAAGATTCTGCTCTTAACGTTCAAAATTAGAAGCACGTTTATATTGATGCAAGTCATCGCAATAGATGTTTTAAGGAGGTAATATAGTAATACATATTAATTATTCATCGCTGCTTTACAGCTGATTACTGACATATTTGTACAATGCTTTACACCAGAGCAAAATTCAAATTTCACTTTTTGAATCATATTTCCACTGTAGACGATCGTACCTACTTTCACCACACCAGCAATTGCCAAATCGTTACCCAAAAAGAACCCATGCGTGCCCAAACTGAAAATAACTTGAGTAACAGCGGTGCTAGAGAACCGCACCAACCCGATCCTGTGTCTATCAGGATGGACGCTGACAGCAGCTGGGGTGTTGTCAATTATGGAAAGGGTATCCTAAACGAATAATGAATGTAGTAGAGGTGATGTCAGTATTATATCAATATTATTTGAACAACAGTATCACAGCACCGTTTCTTTCCCAAAGTTTTGCAAAGCACAATTAAAAGTGGCAGTTTTACTCTATCACCAACCTTTTTTTCTTGTGTGTGTGTGTGTGTGTGTGGGGGGGGGGGGGGGGCTATAAGTACAAAAAATATTTTAAAAAAGATCTTATTCAAACTTGACCTCTATTTTAATGCAACATGTATGAATCACCCCGATGAGTTTAAGCTGTTACCCATTTATTGCATCAGCAATTACAGTAAATAGCACAAAGCACTTACCCTCGCCGCCTGTATGGAATCGTTCCACTCGACAGCGTTGATGCTTCCGCTGCTGTCTAGGTCAAACATCACCTTCCAATGGGGAGGAGAGCCACCCATCAGGGCATCAATGATTTGGTCAATTGTAAGAGCGTCCACGCGCTGGTTTATACACGCCGCGCCGACGGCGGTCAACAGTAGCAGTGCAGGTAGGTTCATCTTCAGTGACGTCAGTTGCGATCTTCCTTTATCGCCTACAGGAAGTTCATTGGTGCTTCACGGAGACTGGCAACTTTTTATACTTACCTGTATTTACTTTGCCCCATTAAACAGTAGTTAAACTTATTTCCTCGTACCCTGGAGGTACACCGGGAACAGCGCCATTTTGAATGTTATTTCAGTAGTTAGTCTCGAGAGAACATGTGTTGATGGACATTTAATTTTATTTCAGATTAAATGACTTTTTGTTCATGTCAAAGTAACCTTGTTTACGGAACATTTTTGACGCGTGCTTTGTGCTTTATTGAGGAAGTCAGATTGAACCAATCAGAAACCACCGCCAGGAATGTTTGGGATGCAATTTCAAAACGACGGAAAAAAATCCTGAATACTTGATCCAGAAAGATTTACATTTATGTAAGCATACGTGTATCTAAATTTTACTCTGCTTTTTCTACACAAGCGAAGAAAATGAATAATTTCCTTAAAGCCTCCAAATACACTGCATTGTCAAACATTTCCGGCAGAGCACGTGCCCCAACTTCATCTCCATCTTTGGAAGTTGAGTGTTTGCTACACTTCCTTCAGGTGGTTGACTAGTAAAGTAAAATATATATATAGTAAAAAAAAAAAAAAAAAAAAAAATATATATATATATATATATATATATATATATATATATATATATATATATAATTTGTAACCGACCCCAAGTCTTAGCAACTTCAGTAATACACACTGGCTCAATATGATTGCGTTTGTGCAGTATATTTCTTTTTCCAGCCAAAGTCGTGTACACTTCGCTGGCGATTAATTAATTTGGTCTGCTCGTCATATCCCAATTAAGATTTTACAAGTCTATTATATTAAGAGCTTTTAGGTTTTCTGCAGTTTAAAAATAATTAACCGCACAATCGGGTGTCACCAGATCCTGATATTCGGAAAAAATGTTTATATGGTGATTGGAAGATCTTTAAAATTTGCAGACAAGACGGCTTCGCTATAATTGGAGCAGGAAACAAAATGTGAGCTTACGGTATAACACGAACAACCTTAGAGCAAGAGCCACTGTGCTTACGTAGATTCTTTGCAATAAACTATATCATTGAGACGGAAAGGGAGATATCGCTTCCAGAACAATATGCTCTCCTTAATGTACAAAAGAAAATAATGTATATTATATTGAAGTAGGTATATACAAAACAAAAAAAGGAAAAACGGAATACAAAAAGATTGATCAAAAAAGTGCGGACGACAACGGTGACAAAGTCTGAGTTCCGTTTACATTTGGAGTGTGACTGAATATTAAAGTGCGTTTATAAATATGTCACTCCGTTTTCAAAAATGTTTTATTTACAGATCTGGTTTAATATAAGCTTCCACATGACATAGTTATCTATGCACTGACCTTATATGTATGGAATTATGAATGTTATACATTCCTCTCCTTATGTGTATCTTTATGTGTATCAAAATACTTTCTTTCCTATTTTTGGTTTTATCAGAAAAACGAACTTATTACTAATAGATGCTCTGAAACAATGAGTATGGTGACAGAGTCAATCTTCAGTGTAGTCATCCGGGTACTTGATGGTGTAGTTCCCGGGACACGTGGGGGTAGGGCAGCAGGTCCCGGGGGCTGGCGGCAGGAGAGAGCAGGCTGGTGGGAGCTCCCAGTACAGGCACCTGACAACAACAAACAGAACAGAAGACAGGGATAAAGGTATGTGGCGGACTTGCTTTAATCAGTACAGTGGGTTGTAAACACAAATCAATTTACAAACTCCGAATATCATTCATTCTACCTTGTTTAATGCAATAAATAAAATGAAGTGTTTCCGGACAAAATATGCTTTTACTAATGCCTTTTTCATCTTTGCCGTGTAAGGAAATTTCTTTGTACTAATGTTGCCTTCTTTGTTTTTTTGCCTTCTTTGTTTCTAACATATTTTAAAATAGTTTGTGTAGAACATCCACAAACCAGGCTGATATCTACTTCCTTATGTTGACGCTTACCTGTTTACGCATGCGTATTGGCCATCACGTCTGCACACACATTTATGTTGACAACCATCATACCATTTATGTCCTTCGTCATACAAAGTTCCCTTGTACATGCACTTCTTTGCTTGAAAATGTAAATGGTGTTTTTATTATTTTCACATCAACAGATTTAAACCTGAATTAAAGGCAAAAAATTTTGTGACATCACCGGTAGTGAGTATCATCAGCAGAGGGGCACATGTCAGAAGCCACGTATACTGGACGTTTTTTTTTTTTACGATTCTTTCATCATTGACGCCCTTCCCAACTCAATCAGTTCCTTCTTTACTGGTTCGTTTATTCTTCGCTTTTTGATTAAAACCTTGAAATACATAATATACCCACTGCCATATGCTGCAGTCGCATGCTCTTTCTTACCTTCCTTATACCATTCATTTAAATATATTAGTCACCACTTTTTGAGATATGCCAACAAAGTCCTAGCAGTACTCACATGGTGTTACAATGGAGGCTGTTGCTGGGGAAGCAGTGAAGGTTGCTGCCAAGGTAGTCTGGGATACCACTGGGCACAGATACAGGAAGATAATTAATGTTATAAGTTGTATACAGAATAGATTCGCGCATACAGAACTACACAGACGTGCATCAATATCTATGTAGCATACTGACGTAAATGTAGGTCATTTTATTGAAATCCAATTTAACATACAATACACGTCAAGTATTCACGTAATAATATGATGAGATTGCAATGGAAAGAGAGGAAGAGTTCTAAAATATTACTTCTAATTCTATTTCATAATAATATTTTTCTTAAATCTTTTTCAAGATTATTATTAAAATACCTTTATCTGAATTTTGCCAACTTCTATTTTTCGTTAATTTCAATCTTACTGCCCCGCTGATGAAATAAAAATTTGTTAGTAAATCTTGGCGAATTAGTATTCCTTTTCTAAGATGTAACACCTACCCACATCCGCGGTCCAGGTGGGCATAATGGATGTGGTAGCGCCATCTATCGACAAAAAGTTAAGTTTTGTGATAACCACAGAATAATGTAAGATGATCCGCAATTATAGAAAGCTCTGCACAGAAATGAGTGGAAGAATCAGTGAATAAAGATAAAAGACTGTTTTATACTATGGGAAATAAGATAAGAATAAAATACGGATAAGTAGAAATCTTCCTGCATGAACAGAATTAGACCAGTAAAAATGCTTCCAAAAGTCCATCACTCACAGGTAACGCCACCTGCCATGTTATTTACTCTTTGATCATTTATTCATTGATTATCACGGTATTTTACAGTTTACGGTTTATATCGCAAATAATATACATGTAGATGTTGCCTTTGAAAAACAATAGGCTGTACCGGGGTAGGCCTAACGTACCTTGAATACACTGTAGTTTCTTGCAGCACTTGCCTGTGCTCGAGACCAGAGAACAATTTGGGGGAATCACCGGAAATGACGGACACCTGAAACAATAAGAATACCACTTTTCATTTGTCGCAGAATATTTTCAGTTTTTTTTTCTGTAATGTAATTATGGTTATGGGAGATAAAAAGTATAAAAACTATATAAGTATAACTACAGGTAAATGAAAGTTTATCTCACTTTTGTTTGTTAAGTCAGATGGAACAGACCTTTTCTTTCGTGGAAGCTTTGCAATATAGAATCTTATTTTGGAAGTCTTTAAAGTTAATTTTACTATTTAGCATTTGCACATACTTTTATACTGAAAAAAAAATCTACAAGGGGAGGACACCTTCATGTACAAGTATATTACTATTTGCATTCTAATTAACGTTTTTTAATAATGAAAATAAATAAAAAAAATAAAACATAAAGATTTCTAATAAACCACCCAAGTTCATGTCATGGGTGGAGTCTCTACTTACATCCTGCTGCAGTGGTAGATGCCGACTGTGTCGTCTTCACAAAGACAGTTGTAATCACAGCCATCACTCCAAGTCTCCCCTGTCTTGTAAACACCGCCCTTATAGTAACACCCCACTAAATGACAGGATATGAGTTACTTGTTACACTAAATTAGATGCGAACTTCCACCTGGCATCAATTTCTATTTCATTAACTTTTGTAATCATAGTGTTAGTTATTACAAGTAAGTTACTGTAATAACTAACGTTATGGGATAACCAAACAGGACGGTCATTGTCTTTACTCTTCCTATCTACTGTTAAGATAACCATTATCATTGTCCAATCTGACTTTTAAAGATAGGCTTATTAATTAATAACTTTGTATAAAATGTATAAAATCGATAACACAAAAGTATACAAAGAATGTATGTGGTCGTTTTCAGTCGACATTACTTATGGGAAATGATATCTAAAAAAGAGCAACGGTAGGAAAATTGAGTTTGGAACTACAAACAGAAATTGTCGGAAAACAAATTGTACATGAAGATTTAAGAACAGTGCGTGTCGCCCTTGCTTTGAACCAAAGAAAGTCACCCTTTTAAGAAAGGCTACTAGTACATACCACACTTCTGAATGTTACAGTTCTGGTACTCCCTGTCAGAACCCACGCACGGGTCGCCGCCATTGGCTGGAACGGGGCTGTCACATGACCTGTGACGCCACCTCGTGCCACCACCACATGACCTGCTACACGTGCTCCAGTTACCGAACTGCGACCAGCCGCCATTAACTGAATGTACGAAATAAATCGCCTTGTGAGAGTGTCACACTCACTGTGCAATCGTTAGTGTTAGTTGATTTATCAGTTATCATGCTATATTGACTTCTGATCTTGCCAACCAAAGTCAAAAACCGCCTCCTGTTTTATAAGAGCATTATTCATGCAATGGAACATTAGTCGACTTTTACCTTATTTCACTATATTTCAACCTGTCAGGCAAACGTTATCGCGGTTTTTAAGAGCTTATTAAAGCGCATCTAGAAATGTTCCAAAAATCCACAACTGTTCAGAGGTGAGCTTTTGGAAGGTAACGATTTTCATCTTTAAGCCATGTCAGATTTTAAAGTAGCTATACTTACTTTTCTGAATGTCACAATGTTTCCCCGTCCACCCGTCAGTGCAGTTACATACGTAGTCAGAGGGAGATGTAGCGTTACAACTGCCGTGAATACAGACTTGGCCTTCACAGG